CTTAATAGATCAGATAAAAAAAAAAAAAAAAAAAAAATCTGTCGAATGAGAAGAGCACATAGGGAGTGTATGATGGGAAAAAAGGATTTTCTGGAGGCTGTAATTATTTTTTTTTTTTTTTTTTAGCATCCCTGAGCAGTTAATACACCAGTGTTATAAAACCAAGGGGGAGTGTAGCTTTCCATGAGAACACAAAAGGGTTTAGGTTTCACCGATTCCAGCTTTGTTGATAGCATGGTATGTAAATGCCTTGAAAGATGCATCGTGATATTGAGACGATAAATTACCGCGTGTGTACCTGGCCGCGTTTTTTGTATCGCATGTTGTTGATAAATGCTAATTAGGCCGCAATATGTATGTTTAGGTACGTGTGTAATATTCATTCTTAATGGTTTCCTTCAGAAATTAGCCCATTGACATGCTGCCTTTTCAAACCAGACAGCACTTCATCTTCAAACCTATCTGTGACCACTTACATTCTGCCCCCCATCCCCGACCAATCAAAAATCAGCTTTTACAGATTCGTCATCTTTATATCTATTGGTTGTTACGGTGAACGGCGCGCCTGTTGTGGTTCTCTGTGTTCATATGCCCCATTATGGAGAGTTGCTGTGTTTTTGTGAGGGAGAGATGATGGATGCAGCGCTTTTACTTTACCGAATGATGCTTACGAGGAGTAAATGCTTCACAATGACAGGAAAGCATGTTGTGAGCCAATGGATGCGTTCCATGGAATGTTCCACTTTGAATGCTATGGGTAGAGGGGGATCAAGTATGAAATAAATAGGAAGGGGAGGGGGCAGAAAGAAAAAGGGAGAAAGGATTGTGGTGGAAACGAGGAACTGGGGGAGGATAGAGGAACAGAAAAAGGAAGGAGGGAAGGAAGGAAGGAAGGAAGGAGGGAAGGAAGGAGGGGAAGGAAGGAAGGAAGGAAGGAAGGAAGGAGGGAAGGAAGGAAGGAAGGAAGGAAGGAAGGAAGGAAGGAAGGAAGGAAGGAAGGAAGGAAGGAAGGAAGGAAGGAGGGAAGGAAGGAGGGAGGGAGGGAAGGAGGGAGGGAAGGAAGGAAGGAAGGAGGGAAGGAAGGAAGGAGGGAAGGAAGGAAGGAAGGAAGGAAGGAAGGAAGGAGGGAGGGAGGGAAGGAGGGAGGGAAGGAAGGAAGGAAGGAAGGAAGGAAGGAAGGAAGGAAAGGAAAGAAAGAAAAGAAAGAAAGAAAAAGAAAAAGAAAGAAAGAAAAGAAAGGAAAGGAGAGAGAGAAGGAGAGAGAGAGAAGGAAGAGAGAGAGAGAAAGGGAAGAGAGAGAGAGAGAGAGAGAGAAAGAAAGAAGAAAGAAAGAAAGAGAGAAGGAAGAGAGGGAGAGAAAGAGAGAGAGAGAGAGAGAGAGAGGGGGGGGGGGGAAGAAAGAAAGAAAAGAAAGAGAGAGAGGAGAAAGAAGAGAAGGAGAGAGAGAAGAGGGGAGAGGAGAGAGAGAGAGAGGAGAGAGAGAGAAGTGAGAGAGAGAAGAGAGAGAGAGAGAGATGAGAGAGAGAGGAGAGAGAGAAGAGAGAGAGAAAGAGAAGAAAGAAAGAAAGAAAGAAAGAAAGAAAGAAAGAAAAAAAAAGAAAGAAAGAAAAGAAAGAAAAGAAAGAAAAAGAAAGAAAGAAAGAAAACTATAAAGACTGGAGACATTTCTGAAAATCTTGACACCTTCTGGACTTTCTGTGATTGGGATGTGGGATGTGGTACCATGATTGAAGCCTGGCTCTAGAGAAGGAAGGAAGGAAGGAAAGAAGGAAGGAAGGAAAAGGAAGGAAGGAAGGAAGGAAGGAAGGAAGGAAGGAAGGAAGGAAGGAAGGAAGGGAGGGAGGGAGGGAGGGAGGGAGGGAGGAATGGAGCAAAACAGAGGATGGATATAAGGGAGAAAAGAAGGAAAATAGGTTGGGAGAGGGGAAACAGAGAAAGAGGGGGAGAGAGAGAAGACTGTAAGGGAAAGAGAGAGAGAAAAAGGAAGAAAGGAGGGAGAGAGATAAGGGGAAGAAGAGAGAGCAAGAGAGTGGGGCAGAGGGAAGGAGAGAGAAAGAAAGAAAGGAAAGAAGAGAAGAGAATAGAGAGAATAATAAAACATAGAGAGAGAAAATGGGACAGAGAAAAGAAAGAGAAAGAAAGAGAGAGAAAGAAAGAAAGAAAAGAAAGAAAGAAAGAAAGAAAGAGAGAAAGAAAAGAAAGAAAAAAAGAAAGAAAGAAAGAAAGAAAGAAAGAAAGAAAGGAAAAGAAAGAAAGAAAGAAAGAAAAAAAGAAAGAAAGAAAGAGAGAGGATGAAGGTGGAGAAAGGATGGAAGTAGGGGAGGAGGACAAGAAAGGAGAGAAATAAAGAGAGGTTTGGAGAGAGATCGAGAAGATGGAGGAGAAAGGAGAAAAAAGACAGTTGGAAAGAGGGAGGGGAGAGAAGAAGGAGGAAAGGAGCAATTTTCAGAGAGAGATTTGTAGAGAGAAACAATGAGATGTAGAGGGAGAGGAGGGATGAGAATGGAGGAGTGTTCACAAAAATCATTGACCGTTGATCCTGGACCAAGCCACATGACTCTGTTCCCGCCATTTCATGGAGTGCGCTTGCTAAGTGGGGCTCCTTGGCTCCTCTACCCGTGGATATCTATCCCAGGTAGGGGCCTGCAAGACACATGGAATACCCACGAATCTCATGCCTCATGTTTACTGTTTAAATCAAATTAGTAAAATTAGAACAGACATTCGAGGTGTAAATCTGGAGTAGCCATACCGTCTTCTTGGCATGGACTTGCCGAAGGAGAATGTGCACTTCATTGACCAACTCATGCACCAGCCACAAACTTATTTTTTTTTTTTCATTTCCCTTACACATGATTAAATATTCAAAGGCAGAATATCTTCACTGAATTCACTAAGCTAAGCAACCAATCATTGCCCTTTCAGTGATTAAACCCCATTGGCTCCTCCTTCTTTTAGATATTTAGATTGGATAACAGCATAAATATTCCCACCAGGGCACCATACTGAATGAAACAAGCAAGGCCTTGCAGATTTGTCATTTTCTTTTTTTTTTTTTTTTTACTTTTCTAAGCAAATCCATGTACAGGGAAGGTGGTACATACATTCATCGACTCCCCAGCAACCATTTTGTCTACTAGCATGCTGGGGATCATGAAAGTCTCCAATGCCCCTTCCAAGAATAGATCTCATGTGTGGCTAATGTTATAAGACCCCTGGCGTTTCTCGCAGGCTGTAGGTTGAAGGCATTGGAACGTACGTATGGAGAGATATCTAGGCTCGCGGTGATTGCAAATTGAGCTGCGCCGTTTGGTTAGTCCTTTTGAAGTGTGCCTGCCCATTCCATGAATGGATTAATTAGCTGGTCTCCTGCCTCCAGAAGTGGTACATGCAGCAGACGTATATTAACAATAACGTATGCATTGTGTAGTGTGGGCCAAGGTCAAAGAACCATCGTTACATTAAAAATAATTAATAACAGAGAATACTTTTTGCACATGGTATCCATGTAGCCTAAGAGAAAATGTATTTAAAAATATACACGCTTCGCATGCATAATTGATGTGTGACTGATCATAAAAAGGGGATCAGAATGGAATCATTATGGATGATAAAGAATAGAAGAACAAAAAGGTATGAATGTGATAAAGATAATCAAAAAGATAGATTTGTGAGAAAGAAAGAAAGAAAGAAAGAAAGAAAGAAAGCGAGAGAGAGAGAGAGAGAGAGAGAGAAAAGAGAGAGAGAGAGGGAGGAGAGGGGGGGGGGGAAGAGAGGGAGAGGTGAAGAGAGAGTGAGGAATAGAGAGAGAGAGAAAGAGAAAAAAAAAAAAAAGAAAGAGAAAGAAAGAAAAAAAAAAGAAAAAGAAAGAAAGAAAGAAAGAAAGAAAGAAAGAAAGAAAAAGAGAGAGACAGAAAGAAAAAAGAGAAAGAAAGAAAGAAAGAAAGAAAGAAAGAAAAAGAAAGAAAGAAAGAAAGAAAGAAAGAAAGAAAGAAAAGAAAGAAAGAAAAGAAAAGAAAGAAAAAAGAAAGAAAGAAAGATTTGTGACAGTTATGTTCAAATCGGGGCTGAAAATAACTGCCATTTATTTCTTTAAATAATTATCTTCATCTCGGTGTAAGCTTTGTGAATGAGCTCTATCTTCAGCTCCCCACGGTCGAATATAAGGATGGTGTATTTGGTTTTATTTCAGCAGCTGTTCAGAGAAGGTGCTGAGTTTGTAGAAACCTCGAGAATCCTCACATCTTTCAGGTGTATGGTACAGTTTGTAACAAGTTTGTTCTAAAACATGTGCTGAAATGATAGATAGATAGATAGATAGATAGATAGATAGATAGATAGATAGATAGATAGATAGATAGATAGATAGATAGATAGATAGATAGATAGATAGATAGATAGATAGATGATAGATAGATAGATAGATAGATAGATAGATAGATAGATAATAGATAGATAGATAGATAGATAGATAGATAGATAGATAGATAATAGATAGATAGATAGATAGATAGATAGATAATAGATAGATAGATAGATAGATAGATAGATAGATAGATAGATAATAGATAGATAGATAATAGATAGATAGATAGATAATAGATAGATAGATAGATAGATAGATAGATAGATAGATAGATAGACAGATAGATAGATAGATATAGATAGATAGATAGATAGATAGATAGATAGACAGATAGATAGATAGATAGATAGATAGATAGATAGATAGATAGATAGACAGATAGATAGATAGATAGATAGATAGATAGATAGATAGATAGATAGATAGATAGACAGATAGACAGATAGATAATAGATAGATAGATAGATAGATAGATAATAGATAGATAGATAGATAATAGATAGATAGATAGATGGATAGATAGATAATAGGTCAAGATATGGGTAACAATAGACAGATAAATAGATAGATAGACAGATATGGAAAAGATGAAAGAAAGAAAGAAAGAAAGAAAGAAAGAAAGAAAGAAGAAAAGAAAGAAAGAAAGAAAGGTTGGGAGAGGGGAAACAGAGAAAGAGGGGGAGAGAGAAAGACTGTAAGGGAAAGAGAGAAAAGGGAAGAAAGGAGGGAGAGAGATAATGGGAAAAAGATAGAGAGCAAGACAGTGGGGCAGAGGGAAGGAGAGAGAAAGAAAAGAAAGAAGAGAAGAGAATAGAGAGAATAATAAAACATAGAGAGAGAAACAGAGAAAGAAAGAAAGAAAGAAAGAAAGAAAGAAAGAAAGAAAGAAAGAAAGAAAAAGAAAGAAAGAGGGAAGGAGAGAAAGAGAGTGAGAGAGAAAAAGGAAAGAAGAGAGGCAGGGAGAAAGAAAGAGTGTAACAGAGATAAAGAGAGATAGAGAACAAAGGACAGAAGAAATAAGGGAGAGAAAGAATGGGTCAGAGGAAAGTAAAATAAATTGATGGGTTGAGTTATGGGTAATGACAGATGAAAGAAAGAAAGAGAGAGAGAGAGAGGAGGAGAGAGAGAGAGAGAGAGAGAGAGAGAGAGAAAGAAAGAAAAAGAAGATAGATAGATAGATAGATAGATAGATAGATAGATAGATAGATAGATAGACAATAGCTTTCTAAGGTATTTCCTTGAGAGAGGAAGCTTCTTTCCAGGAATGGCTCACAGCCCAGACAGATGCAATAATAACACTGGACACTATATACACAAGGAAGGCAACTGCCATTTCCATTACCTTCACATTTGAATCTATTGTTATGTTCACAGCCATTGGCCCAGAGATCAGTTCAAAATATCCCACAGTATTCTCACGGACCTCGATGCAAGGGATAACGTGTCATTTCAGTCCACAGACATTGTACGTCAGATGATTATTGATTATGAAACCTCCTTGTCTTTCCAATATGGTGGAAATAAATAATAGCAACTAAAAAAAAAATAGATACTGAAATTGAAACCTTTAATGATGAGTTCATTTGAGTATGAGTGTTGCTATGAGTTTTTTTGCACATTGCTCTCCTTGTATCAGCTATTAGGTTTCAGTTGGCTCTCTATCATGTTAGCTTTTACATTTTGTATTCCCACATCTGGCCCTTCTGGCCCACATCTGGCATTTCTGGCCCACATCTGGCATTTCTGGACCACATTTGGGCCTTTAATCTACAAGGCCATACACCAAAAACTTACACAACAGCATTGACTGTTCCTCAGCTTCTATTACCCGTGGCGGTTGACCTTCATCCATTGACCATTAGAGATGGTCCACTAAGGGAAATCACTATGACACCATACATGTCATCAGCTTTGGTCAGTGTGGTTGATAAGTCAACTAGGCTGCTGTCCAAAAACAACAAATTCTGGGTCAGCGGTGTAACTGTCGGTCATTTTCACTCCAGACAGATCCTCCTCCATTTATTCCTCTCTGGCATTGGAGTAAAAAGCCTAAAACTGGCAGGTAGTACTTAATTGTTTCGGGACAGTTTGTGTGAAATTTTGGCCTTTTAGGAATTTTTCAAAGATCGTATCGATATGAGAAGCCACTGGGTTACCCAATCTACTAGAGTCTTGTATCGATAAGGGAAGCCACTGGGTTACCCAATCTACTGGAGTCTTGTATCGATAAGGGAAGCCACTGGGTTACCCAATCTACTGGAGTCTTGTATCGATAAGGGAAACCACTGGGTTACCCAATCTACTGGAGTCTCGTATCGATATGAGAAGCCACTGAGTTACCCAATCTACTGGAGTCCTGTATCGATATGAGAAGCCACTGGGTTACCCAATCTACTGGGGTCCTGTATTGATACTGGAAGCCACTGGGTTACGAAATCTACTGGAGTGCTGTATTGATACTGGTAGCCACTGGGTTACCCAATCTACTGGAGTCCTGTATCGATATGAGAAGCCACTGGGTTACCCAATCTACTGGAGTCTTGTATCGATAAGGGAAGCCATTGGGTTACCCAATCTACTGGGGTCCTGTATTGATACTGGAAGCCACTGGGTTACGAAATCTACTGGAGTGCTGTATTGATACTGGAAGCCACTGGGTTACCCAATCTACTGGAGTCTCGCATCGATACGAGAAGCCACTGGGTTAGCTAACCTACTGGAGTCCTGTATCGATAAGGGAAGCCACTGGGTTACCCAGTCTACTGGAGTCCCGTATTGATACGGGAAGCCACTGGGTTACCCAGTCTACTGGAGCCCTGTATTGATATGAGAAGCTACTGGGTTACCCAATGTACTGGAGTCCCGTATTGATATGAGAAGTAACTGGGTTACCCAATGTACTGGAGTCCTGTATCGATCCGAGAAGCCACTGGGTTAGCCAATCTACTGGAGTCCCATATTGATATGAGAAGTAACTGGGTTACTCAATGTACTGGTGTCCTGTATCAATACAAAAAGCCACTGGGGTACCCAATCTACCGGAGTTCTGTATTGATATGAGAAGTTACTGGGTTACCCAATCTACTGGAGTCCCATATTGATATGAGAAGTAACTGGGTTACCCAATGTACTGGAGTCCTGTATTGATATGAGAAGTAACTGGGTTACCCAATGAACTGGAGTCCTGTATCGATACGAGAAGCCACTGGGTGATCCAAACTCCTGGAGTTCCATATCGATACGCAACTTACTGGAGTCATGCATTGATACGGGAAGACACTGGGTTACCCAATCTACCGGAATCCTGAACCACTGGGTTCCCCAATCTATTATCATCTTTACATGACCATGATTTTAGTTCTGGGTGGACTGAAACTTAAAGGTCGATCCTTGTTGTGGGAGGGCATTGATCGATCAAGGTATCAGTACATGGATACCCAATGTACTGGAGTCCTGTATCGATACGAGAAAGCCACTGGGGTACCCAATCTACTGAAGTCCCGTATTGATATGAGAAGTAACTGGGTTACCCAATGTACTGGAGTCCTGTATCGATACGAGAAGCCACTGGGGTACCCAGTCTACTGAAGTCCCGTATTGATATGAGAACAAACTGGGTTATCCAATGTACTGGAGTCCTGTATTGATATGAGGAGCCACTGGGGTACCCAATCTACTGAAGTCCCGTATTGATATGAGAAGTAACTGGGCTACCCAATGTACTGGAGTCCTGTATCGATACGAGAAGCCACTGGGGTAGCAAATTTACTTAGACAACATTGAAGCTCAAAGAATTTTGTACCCAGGTTGAACATTAAAGGGTTAACGATGAACACTGAAGGGTTGCGGTGGAAGATTTGGCCTTGAACCTTACAACCAAATGTGGCTGGTGGATAACAAAGGAAGCTGGGAGATCAGAACATTTGGATGGTGACAATACAGGACCCTGGCCAGGTCATTTCATAAGGGAAGGTGCTGTCCAAAGGCCAGGGATACATTTTTTTCCCCCTTCTCCTCTGCCCCTAGTCCCTCCCCCTCTGACAAATGAAATTTCTACAGGCCAGCAGTAAGTCAGGACTGCTGACATCCCCAGCCTTCTAGCCAATCACAGCCAGGGAAAGGGAGGGGTGTGCAAAAGAATGAATGGGCATGCATTTCCCTAACACCCCCTAGAGCAGAAGATGTTTCAACGTAGCAACATTGCCAGACGCAACCTCTGAGCTACCGAGGGGTCGAGGAGGGAACCCATCGAGGCAGATGGATCTCGGGAAATGTGTTAACCTCCCCCCCCCCCATGCACAGTCTTCCCGGAGGCTTTTTTTTTTCCAAGAGTGATCTCATTTTTTTTTTTCTTTCTGGCACAAGATGCTTCAGATTATAATCAGCTAACGCTAGAATTCCTTGGGAATTTTCTCATCAAGACCTGATGGAAATGGAAGGAAAAGAAAAAAAAAAAAAAAAAGCTGAGCTTGACACCTCTTACATAACGCTGTCTTCTCAATAGCTATTATTGTGTATTACCGTTCTAATCTCGTTCTGATTCGATACGCGGTTAATAATCGACGTGCGCGGCGTGGAGCGTGGGCAATCTGGAAGCGGAAGACGGTCTTGGGTTTTCGCAAAGGTCTGACTCCTGAGAGAGCTAATAAATTTTAATTAATGAGTCGTGCAGGAGATCTAGATCATATACGGTGAGGTTCCCTTTGTATCGTAATCGAAGGACGGGCTTACTGCTTCATTTGGCTAACGAGGTGGTTCGGTATTACGTTGTAGCCTTGCTAAGGTAGCGGTCTTGGATATTGTATTTTTTTTTTTTATTTAATTTTATTTTATTTTGTTTTAATTTTTTTTTATTTTATTTTCTTTTAATTTTTATTTTAATTTTATTTTGTTTTAATTTTTTTTTTTATTTTGTTTTAATTTAATTTAATTTTATTTTGTTTTAATTTTTTTTTATTTTATTTTGTTTTCATTTTTTTTCATTTTATTTTGTTTTCATTTTTTTTATTTTATTTTGTTTTCATTTTTTTTTTATTTTATTTTGTTTTAAATTTTTTTTTATTTTATTTTGTTTTCATTTTTTTTCATTTTATTTTGTTTTCATTTTTTTTTTTTTTTAAGTGTTAATTGCTACTCAGCTAGAAAATATCAGAATGTTTTTTTTTTTTATGATGTTTTGTCCTTTTTTGTGTCTTGAAGTGTACATGCATAGGAAACTGTGATCATGCGGTGTGTTCTATCTATCAGAAGGTAACATTTGTATTTTTTTTTTTTTAAATTAGAAATCAATATTCTGGAATAAAAGACACGGAGGAGGATGCTGGCATTGGGACGAACAGGGGTTAATTGTTATCTTTGGTTATCTAGCTGTATGAGTGTTGTCAATTCTTCATAAAGCTAGATAACCGAAAGTAAAAATAACCCCATTACGCGCCTAGTTATGGTGGTTTTTCGAAGGAAGAAAGAGTCACCGAAACGTCAAAAGGGTTCAAGAAGGAATTCTGGACCGTGCCGGAGCTGATGGACTGTTAAAAAAAGTATGTTAATTTGCTTCTGGAATATTATCTGGAGGTAGGACTTGATATCAACCGCCCTTTCCATGAGGTATAATGAAATATGAATGACCTTACCTGCTAAATTTATGGACTCTTCCAAGACTCCACTGTTCTCGACTCAAGCCTTGGCTGGGGGTGTAACAGGTTTTTAGAGAAAAAAAAAAAAAAAAAGACTTTTCAAGACTTCTAAAATATGGAAGTGAACAACTACAGATTGGATTGGTATGAATAATGACAGCAGGAATTTATAATCATCTTACAAGGACGTGGCGCAATGTAACCTTCTGAATGGAATATGATATTTTATTTATCACCCAAAAAAAATCTTTATGTTATGGTTTGGGACTAAAACGCAACAGTTTTCACAGACATTTTTTTTTTTTAATTTTTCTATTAATTTTATTTTTTTTATATTTTTAAATAGTTTTCACAGACCTTTTTTTTTTCTTTTCATTTTTTTATTAATTTTTTTTTAAATATGGCCTTCAATTTTTTCACCAGTCTTCAAAAAAACTTTTTTTTTGGGATGAAAACAATTAACAAAAAAAAAAGGAAAATTGAATATTACTTGTATAATCAGCCAAACTTTTTTTTTTTCCTGCAAACAAAAGTATAAATAACTTTTAATATGTTTAGTATTTTTTAATTTGTTTGGTTTATTTTTA